TAGTAGTAAGTTGCTGAAGATGTTCTTCAAATGAAGTGGCTTCTATGACCATCACAGGCATAGGCATATCGGAGACCGAGGGAGTAATCACCCCACTTTTGCTTAGGAGAAGTCTCAGAGTAAGATTTAATCCTTGAGCCCATGCTAGAGTGTGTGTCGGGCAAAGAATCATCCATTTTTTTCCTCCAGATCGATTGAAGAATAGGTAGGTTGTCTCTTTTTTGTTGGAAGAGCCTTCCTTTTACTTTGTCTGAAGCGATGCTCCATCGGTGGCAAGAGTTGAGATTTGTCCGCCTTTGTACTTGCGCGGGTTGTTGGAAATGACTCCACGACCAAGTCTGCTAATTTGTCAGTGGGAGGAATCACGATGTCTTTAGCTTTCATTGCTGAGAGACTTGTTGACTTGAGAGATGAGAGGAAGAAAGGGTCTCACCGGGCATGCCAAAATTTGTAACGACAAATTTCGTGATGTAAATTAACGCAAAATAAGGTCAAGTTACAATAGTCAATTTGATTAACTTTGAAAAATGTATTGTTGACTCTCTTCAGCTTACTTCTCACATGCATTGTCCTCTGATTCTCAATGAATTTGGTGACAAGGGCCGGATCGGCATATTTCTTGATCTTTGATTTGGTGTTGACTTTGGTAGATTTGATGAAGACAAGGGCTTGACCAACGTGTTCCTCAATCTTCGATTTGGTGATACTTTGGTAGATTTGTTGAAGACGAGAATCGAATTAACGTGATTTTCGTTCTTCGATCTTTAACTTGACTTTGTCAAATCTTTTCACCGTTCTTTGTGGTGAATTGCTTAAGGATGATTTGGATCTCTTGAAGAAGGACCTTGGCGGTGTTTCTACTCCTTAGAGATAGATTTGTAAGACCTCAACTGGGGGTAGAGTCTATCAGAGCTTCGCTATTGATCTTCTCTTCTTCTCCTGAGGTGGACTTGTGCAGTGCTTTCTTGATCTTCCCTCCTTCTTAGCTTCTTTTGCTCCTCCTTCTTGGCCTTCTTCTAGACTTCTATTTATAGTACTAGGAGTAGTTATCCATATAAGAGTATTTTTACCTAATTACCCTTATATGGACTTTAGGTAATGTGCTACCCATAATTTTGTGGGCTTTTGTTTATGGAATTTAAGTCCAACCCACTTTAACTTTTAAAAGTTTATTTAATTTGGGTCTATGGAATTTGAGTCTATTTTAATTTAACAAGCCTGATTAATTACATTTGAGCTTGTATTATTTAGGCTATGGAATTTAGGTCCAACTAAATTTTTTTTTTCTAATTGATTTGAGCTGAATTATAGACATTAATTTGTTAATTAAATTTTTAATGTCTACAATACTACCAACTTTTGTTTTGGAGTGATTCCCATACTATAGAATCTAGATGAATTCGGTATGAATTCTAGTATTAGGCAAAAGGATCGAGGTTCTATATTAGATGTTAACGCTACTCCACTAGTACAAATAGGCTATATAAAGCAGATCATTAGTATTTTATTGCCACCTCATATCACTGTTCAGAATAGGTATGATAATTATAAACACAACTTATGAACTAGAAATGAAATGAAATTGATGCAGAGTCAGTAAATTAGGGTCTAGCATTAATGGATTCTGTTGATAAATATGTGAACTTGTCTAATCTATCAAATATATGCATTTACACAAGGGTGAAGCAAGGATTTTTTTTTTTGGGTTGGGGGGGGGGGTGGTTGATCCAAGAAAAAAGATTAAGTTTTAGCATGTCAAAATATATTTAGACTTAAGATTCGAGACTAACTTATTATACAAAGTAGTAAAATAAATTTTTTTTTAAACTACATGAAATTTGAACAAAAACTACAAAACAATAACTTGTATTTGGTATATTGTAGTTGAATCATATATTAAAGTTAACTAAAATATTCTTTGAAATCTCAAATTTTTTTATAACTAATAATTGTCCATGTCTGAAGATATAAAAATAACAAAAAAAATTAATTATTTAATATATAAGAGAAAACTTTTGGGTTACAATAGTTTACTATTACATCTAATCATGCTTTATTGGATTATAAGCAACTAACATGCCAAAAAAAAAACTAATTATAAAATATATACAATAATTTTAAAAAATAGGAAGTGTTAGATTGGATAGAAGAGTAGTGTCTTTGGTCAATTTGAAAATAGGTCAAGGCATTTCACATCTAGTTAACTCAATCAAAAAATAAAATATTTATTTTAGGGGGGAAATGAGTCTCTATTTAATTAAAAATAAAAAATCAGGGCCATGATAGAAATTTATAAAAAAAAAAAATAAAAAATTAGGGAGGCAAAATATCATAAATTCCATAAAATTGTAGTTTCTCCTATTTTTTATTGGGTAAATAGTTTGTCCTTTAACTATCGACTTTCATGCAGTACCCTGTGACTATTTGAATTACTTCACAATATCCTGAACAAAATGTATGATAAGTTTTGGATGAAAAATGCTTAAATGCGTAGTAAAATACACTTTTCTAACATACAAAATTTTGATAAATAAAAAAATAATAATTAATTTTTGAAAAACCATTATATACTTACTATATAATTTTTCATCTTTCTTATTACAAATTGATTCATACTAGAGTACACTATAAATATATCTTCTTATCACGCATCTTAGTACCGATGGTTGATATTTACTTCTTACTTCTTATTGCTAAATGAAATTTAAATTATTTTTATAATCCATAAATAAAATTATCAAGTTATTATTCATACCAAAAATAAATAACTACTGTATGAAAACATATAGTTCTCAGAAAATAAAAAAAAAAAATTTTAAGCCCAAGTTCAAAAAAAAATAGTGATCAATACAAAAAAAATAAGATATCGATTGCACTAATAAAAAATATTCAAAACCAATCTAATCACTATGTGTTGAAATTATTCAAACATTCTATCTTTGTGTGTTAAAATTTTATAGTAATATAATGCCTTCAGACATGGACAATGACTAGTATATATATAAAGACAAAGCGATGATTTATAATGTGGCCCTTTGCCGCGGCGTTGAGCAGTAAAAGATGATTCATGTATATTGCCATACATGTATCCAAATAAATTTACGTTCATGTATATGTATTATACATTCATTTCATTAATATAATTTATGTATAGGAGTAAGTACAATAGATCCATAGATACAATGTATCCATATAGATGAATAAAATTACATTTGTACAATAAATTATATATTAATATTAAAATATACCAACACAATATAAACTCCGAATGCGTCACATAACTCTCAAACCATGAAATAACAAACCCACCATTAGATTGGAAAATGTGAGACTTTATAGCTGCCCTACCTATGGCAGGGTTCAAGATTGTATAGACATCGATTCAAAGGACACTAAGAAGCAGTGTTTTAAAACCCGGCCTGGCCTGGCGGGTTGACCCGGTGACCCGGTGAACCGGTCCCATAACCGGGCCGGTTTTGTAATTGGACCGTTTGAGCAAAGAACCCGGAATAAAACCAGTGAACCGGTCAAAACCGGACCGGGTTTACAAAACCGGCCGGTTTTGTTCCTTTAGTATAAATATGTTTTTTTTTTACATTTTTGTGTCTTTTTCTTTTCCCCTTCTGTTTTGCCCTAAATCCTAAATCATTCGTTCAGTGTTTGTTAGCTCAAAAATTAAGTGAATAAAATTAAGTAATTCAAGTTTGAGGGTGGAGGTTGGGCTGTTAATTGAAATGCAATTAAGTGATTCAGGCTTGATAACTTTGTTTGATTTAATATATATTAAACATGTTATTTTTATAACTATTTTAATTTTTTAGTCTATTTATCATCATTAATAATTATTTTTTATTTTTTTATTATATCACCGGTTCGACCAGTGACCCGGTGGTTGAACCAGAAATCCATTGACCCGGTCCCTTCTCCGAGTTGGTGTCCGGGCCGGGTTTTAAAACTATGCTAAGAAGCATCGATCGAGACGTTGCAAAAGAATAGTAGGCAAAACACACAAAATGCTCTATAAAACAATAAAATAAACATGACGAGAGATTCATGTTTTACTACAACGTTAGTTTACGCAAAATAATAATTTAATTAATTTTTCGCAAAGCAAAAAAATCGTCTCAAATAAATTTTTGATAAATAAAAAAAAATGTAAACACATTCACGACGCAAAAAAATTGGTACTAGTAACATTAATATAAAACGTCGCGATACGGTTCAATCCAAAATAATTGAATAAATACATTTGCGACGTAAAAAAAATCATTGCAAAAATGTTTGAACCAAAAACTAGTATAGAATTTTGCGACGATTAAAAAACGTCGCAAAAAAATATTGTTCCTACAATTTTTCGTGATGATTTTAATTTCGTGGGGAAAAAAATCATTTTTTAAAAAATAACCCTTCATAAAAAATGGTATTCCAATAAAATTTTTCACCTGTACACCATTAATAATTGTGTTCAATAAAAAACTAACACAGTTAATACATTTTACATTTTTCCATTCAACAACTAACACAAACTAACATCAAATACCATACTAACAAAAACACAAAATAGAATACCCTTAACAAAAGTTATACAAATCATCAAAATATACAACAACGTAATCTACATCCAAGTTTCTCAAAATATTTAAATACATAACCAAAAAATAATTCGTCAGTCACTTTGATGCAGAAGTCCGGAATTCATCTGTAACAAATAAGAAAAAAATAGATTAATAAATAATCAATCAATTTTGTTAAAAACATACAGGTTTTCTAATTCTTAAGTATTAAAATTTTTAATTTTTTCTTAAACTCTCAACCCGAGTCCCGAAATGAGATCTCGTCTTTTCCTACAAATTTATATATCCAAATAGTTCTTATTCGTCTCTTTTCACGGTTAGCATAGTTGTTTTTCTTTCACACTGAATGTAAAGTATTTGACAGGGTAGATTTGTTGGACATTCTTTTGTTCTTATTGAACTACATTACTTTTTGCAAATTTGCAGGATTAGCTCAAACCTTTTATGCAGAGGATCAAGTTTTTAATGATGTTAAACTGGATGGTGTAGTGACTTTGGTTGATGCTAAACATGCTAGTTTTCATCTGGACGAGATTAAGCCCAAAGGAGTAATCAATGAGGCAGTGGAGCAAATTGCTTATGGTGACCGCATTATAGTAAACAAGGTGCATTGCTGTAATTCTTTCTTCTGTATGGTCAGTATACTCTATTTTTGTTTGGATTTTTTTTCCTACCTATCTATCTACACTATCTTTGGTCTTATTGAAATTCAAAATATTCGGTATTGAGCATATCTAGCATTTGAAGAAAACATAGGTCCAAAACAAGAACGTATCAGCTTAAGCACTACCTTCAATGCAAGTCAACAAGAGAGCAAATCAAGTCATCAATTGGAACAGAAATCTTTCACTTCTCTCATTTTTGTTCATTGGTTTCAGGGTTATCTTCTGATGAAATTTCCAATAATTTGAACAGAGATAGCAGTGAGGTTTTTTTTTTGTTCAGCGGTGAGGTATTTTTCATAATATTAAACAGAGAATACATTATATGTTATCCGAAATTTCTGATAAATTCAACGAACAAATTTCTTACCTTATGAATCCCAAGCAACTTCACTCGAAACACCGAATATTTTATCTCTTCACTCGAACGTTTGAATCCAAAGTAACTTCGATGAATCACCAAGGAGGCAACTTCGATCAGTCACCAAGCAGCTTCACTCAAAACACTGAAACGTCACGCTACCAAAACGCCAAGAGAGAGAGAGAGTGGAAAGAGAAGTCAATCGTGAAGAAGGGGCTACTAGGGCTTACCCAAAACAGCATTGATTTTATTTTTTAAAAGACTCAAAGTGACGTCGTATTGGGTATAAAGGGTTTTTTTTAAAGCCCAAAAATGATGTCATTTTGGTTTTTTTTTTAAAAATTATATTATGTGACAAAAAATAAAACGTCGCAAATAATATTTTAATTTTAATTTTTCTTTAATTTTGATTTATAAATAAAAAATTTATATTCTGCGATGAATATCAAAATGTAGTAAATTAAAAAAAAATTATATTATGCGACGAACCTAAAAAAAAGTCGCAAAAAATATTATCAAAAAAGAATATTCCCGACAAACATATAAAAACGTCGCTAATTAATATTTTTATTTCATTTTTACTTTAATTTTGGTTTAAAAAATAAAATTTATTTTTTGCGACAAAAAATTAAAACGTCGCCAATTAATATTTTGACTTTATTTTGGTGACGATTTAATCCTATCTGCAACAAAATTCATCATAAAAAATTGTCAACTCCCACCGCTTCTCAAAATCGGGAGGGAATCACCATTTCGCGATGCAATTAGAAAAAACGTTGCAAAAAATTAACAAAATAATTATAAATTTGTCACAGATGAACGATGTCATTTTGGTTGTGTTGGTTTTTAAAAAATATAATCTACGACAAAATATAAAACATCGCAACTAATATTTTAATTCTAATTTAAAATTATAAAATTTAAATTCTTCAACGAATATAAAAATGTAACAAAATAATAATTTTATTTAATACAAAAATAAAATTTATATTCTGCGACGACTTTAGAAAAACGTCGCTAAAAAGTAAATATTCCCGACAAACTTATAAAAAACATCATGAATTAATTTTTTATTTTATTTTACTTTAATAACTAAAATTTATATTCTGCGACGAAAAACGTAAATGTCGCGAATTAAATATTTTGACCTTTTTTTAATTTTGATTTTAGATTATTTATTTTTTGCGACAAACTAAAATTATCTGCGACAAAAAAAAAATTGTTGTTAAAAATTATCAATTCCCGCCATTTCTCGCGCCAAAAAAATTGATATTTTTTCTTGTTGAAACATTATTTTTTCTTCACATGATATTTTCATTAAGTTGTATAACTCTCCTCCTACCAATCTACATAATAACTCTGGCACTATTTGCTCTATTATTTTATCTTTTCCCATTTGTGACATGTTTGGTTTGTATTTCGAATATGGTGTGAGTTCATTTTCTTGATGTTCGTCTTGATTGGGACTGGGTATTAATGTATGGTATTAAATTAAAAAGAAAAACGTACACTCTCATGTGATTAAATTCAATGCCAAGTCAAAGGTGCTTTTGTCATTTTTAATCCTAATATCATGTAGCATTGATGTTGTACCACCTATATCATAGGGATCTAGTTTGTACACGAATGTGATATTAGTTGACAGTATAACATCGAACCAAGTCAACATTAGCTTGTGTTATAAGACAAGAGCTATGTAACTTGTTTCAAATATGGTATTTACTTTGGACTAATTTCTTTAAATCCTGCCTTTAATATCCGAATCAAACATGCTCATAATGAAAATTTTGCATGGGATTCACAATCAATAGAGGGTGTTGTTTTTAAAACTAAAACCTATAAGATATTGAATCGAGCATCATTTATTTTAAATATAAAGGTGTTTTGACTTTATTGAATATAAATTAACCATTATAAGTAAAAATCTGTTCCCAATCTAGGTTCCTTGGATCCACGTATTTCTATTGACAATCATAAATATCATTTTGTTGGTTAACATTCATTTAAACATTTGATGATAAAAATGTAGTTTTTTGTTGTGTCTCCTTAGAAGAAAGAAAAACCTTAAAAATAAGTCAGATATATAACTAAATGCAGATTTAATGGAATCTGCTCAGTGTTCATGACATTTTCTTAATTTATTTTTTAAACGTTGCATTCTGATATGATTAAAAATTATAGAGTTATGAAAATAATGATTTAAGCAAAAATTCATTGTAAACTTGTGACATTAGTCTATATGTCATTGAATTTCTTTCATATGTTCATGACGATGATCAATAAATTTAGTTATTTCAGTTGTATGGCAATTAGTAAATACCGTTTATTTACTCACTTCCCCTAGTTTATTTAGACTATATATAAAATCAAACTGAAGTTGAAGACAAGTAGACAACGCTGTAGGCAAGAAAAAAAATCACACAGATTCAAAGCAACACATCAAATTAACTTCTTGAGGTCACCCTCTTATTGAACATGAACGTAGAAGAAAAACCCAAGTGCCTTCAATGTTCACATTAAGCAATCTTCAATGTGCTTTCAATATCCAGAACAAATCGGTATTTAACATCGTTTTTATCGAGACGTTCCATTGCTGTGTTCACGTAGTCTATAGGAATAACCTTCACATCTGCTGTAATATTGTGTTTTGCTGCAAAATCAAGCATCTCTTGCATTTCTTTCAACCCTCCAATGTCAATCCCAACCACTATTTTTCGACCTATCATTCCATACCCTAAGTCAGCTATACTGTCTTGTTCAATTTAGTTAATAAATCCAAGTTTTTTATATCAAAAACTAATGCTACAAAACTTAAAGTTGCACAAGACCATTAATCACAGCTCTTTTCGTAGATACCAATAAGTGAAGTGTACTTACCGAGAATCAAAGAACACATTGGCAGATCTAGAGGCTCCAATGGTCCACCGTTCATAACAAGCTTTCCTTGGATTTTCAATAGATCAATTAAAGGTTGAAGAGGATGAATTGCAGGGACAGTATCAATGATATCATCTAGTGTGTCCATTGCAATCTAGTCATATCAAACATAATAGCACGAGGACTAAATATCATAAAACATCTCGATATGAGATGAAGAAGTAGTCTAGTTGTAAATGCTCACTCACATCCATAGGTGGTTGCGACTTCTCCTCTTTTCCCCTCCCCCAACCCCCTCCAAAAAATAAAAGTAAAAAAAGCAAAGAGTCCTACTAATTAATAATTACCAGCATCTGATCGGGGTCACTACTGACCAAAAATGAGTCAACATCAAGGTTTTTTATAGCTCTCTCTTTCTTTTCAGGGGATGTACTAATCACTGTCACTTTACCACCAAGTGCCTTTACAAATTTCACAACTAAATGGCCATGTCCTCTTAGACCCACCACCCCAATGTGCATACCTGGCATGTCGAGTCCAAAATACCTCAATGAACTGTACATTGTGATTCCTGCACCAAGGAGAGGAGCGCCGAAATCTAGAGGTAAGTTGTCCGGCCAACGAAGCACAAAGTGCTCGTCGGCGACCGTGTGATCAGAGAAACACCCATGGATTATGATTCCATCAACGTAGGGGGGACTGTCTGTGAGCATTTGTTCAGGACAATAATTTTCAATGCTGTTAGCACAGCTCTCACATTTCCAACATGACCCTACCAAGCATCCCACGCCCACTTTGTCTTCAACTTTGAACTTTTGTACGTTCTTACCCACTTCGGTCACTACACCCACAATCTCATGCTTGCATTGATCATTTCAGTTTATATGAGATATACGTCAAAAACAAAATTATTGGTCCCCAACTCGTATTAAGTCACCAAACTATTTGTTACTTCGACAAAGTAATCAACTGGGTCTAGACTAGTTGATGACTGGATTCTCTCGAGAAGAAAATCTAAGGGTCAAGGAGTAAACTTTATCTAAGCCAATGGTTGATTTCTCTCAATGTCCTCCGCTTCGATGTTCAATTGAGCCCCTCTTTGGGGCTACTCTTTCACCCCCTCAATGGATTTTCTCCTTTGTTATAGTTGCGTGGTAATTGATGCCAATATTAATCTATTTACGTGTATGAAGAAAAAAAAATCAGTAAATGTACATATTAAATGAGTGACCGACCAAACAATGCGTTATACATACCCTAGAACAGTGGGATACATTGCAGCGCCCCAATAATTCTTATTCATCATAAGGTCTGAGCGACAGATCCTACAATATAATACCTTTAATCTCACATCTTGATCACCAGTAACTCTGAACAATTAGACCACACACATTATAACCACCACCATCATCGTATCAATAAACATGGTCACTCAACCTAGATATATAACTAAAATATTTTAAACTAGCTCATGAAAAGTATGTCATGTCACAAGGATGAAAGACTTTCATATTGGTAATTTATAATGAACCAAATATTTTCTTCCATTAAGGGAGAAACCCAAACCAAACCTTCTTGAAAACGTGAAGGGAGAGAGAACACCAGATGGGTCTCGACAATCCCCTCCAAAAGCCTCCACCTCTTGTGATTTTGACATGAGTAAAGAGAAAATAAGAATCTTGAATGATTTTCAGCTATGTGGCGACTTGTTTCTTTAGTGTGTGGGGAATTATGGCTTGGGCTTTGTGAGGTTGCATTGCTATCTATATATATATATACGTGTGTGAGTGTGTGAATGAGAGTGAGAAAGAGAGGAAGATATTGCAGATTCCGAAATATAATATATATATGCCATGCACGGTGCATGTACGATGAAATGACCAAGTGAGGTCACAGGATGCACTAGGTTTATGGAATAATTTCAGAGCAGAATCAAGATCTTTGAGCCAACTGTCTAATGGTATGGACAAATTAGATGAATATAGAAACCCCTCGTGGGCCGCGAGGAGACATCAGATAATATCAGCTTTTTTGCCTTGTTTGTTGTCAAGCATTCAGATATGAGGATTATTTTGTAGGTTTTGACATGGCTGGTCCCTTTTACATTGTTATCATGGTCGGTCTGGGTTCGATCCCTTTTTAGCTTCTCTAATCTTAATATTTGAGGCAAGTTAAAATAAGATAGAAAATGAGAATTACAGATAGTATAGGTTAGATAGCGGAAACTGGAAAGTTAGAGATAGTATCAGAAGTTAGATAAATAGATAGAATGTGGAGAATTATAAATGATTACAACTTAATAATTGGTAGCATTGTGCCATCTTCATATACATATATACTAGTTATTTCTCGTGCCTGAAGACACGGAGTAATAAAAAAATTGGTTAACATATTTGTATTCATACTCAAGATTAAATCACAAACATAGAGGAGAGATAAAAAAATTTAAAGATCGATTGTAGTGGGGGTGAGCGGTGGTAGTAGTGGTGGGCGACAGTGGCAGTGATGACAGACGGTAATGATTGTGGGGAAGAAGGCAGCGACCGTGGTGGTGGTAGCAACCGTGGGTGGCAATGGTGATGGTGGTGGTGGGCAACGATGGGTGGTGGCGAATGGCGATGGTGATAAGCGTGGTGGAGCTAGATGACAGTGGGTGGTTACAGTGGTGGGCGATGACAAGTGCTGGTGGTTGGTGATGGGGTAGGTGACAGTGGTTGGTGGTGATGCGTGATGGTGGGTGTTGAGGGTGGGCGACGGTAATAGTGGGATGATAGTGATAATGATAATAAATATAAGAATAAGATGACAATGGTAGTGAGTGATGGCTATAGACGACAATGGTACCAATCGGTGGTGGGTGGCGATGGCGGTGGCAGCGGTGGCGATGGGGCAGTGAGGTGGGGGGTGGGGGTGAGGGTGACGGTGGTGGGTTGGCGATGGTAGTTGTAATTATGATGGACGTGGGGGTAGGGGTAGGGGTAGGGGTGGGGGTGGTGGGGGTGATGGTGGGATAGTAGCGATGGTTGTAAGGTGCGACAACAATGATGATGATGGTAGGGTGCAACAGTAGTGGTGGTGGGGATGGTGATGGCCTGGTGGTGGGGCGGTGGAAATGATGGTGGTGGTAGTGATAGTGATGATGTGGGGTGGTAGTAGTGGTGGGCGGTTGTGTAGTGGTTATGGTGGTGGTGGGGCAATGGAGTGGTGATGGTGGTAGTAAGGTGGTGGTCGTGGGTATGGTAGGGTGGCAATAATGATGGTGGTGGGGGTGGGGGTGGGGGTGTTAGAGGTAGTGGTGGGACGGTTTCAAAAATTATTTTTTTTTTTAAATATTTATGAGAAATAATTTCTAAAAGTACTTTTAAAAAGTCACTTCAAATACATCTTTAGGGGCCTGGTTTTTATATTAAATTTGAGGTGTTAATATTAACCGTTATATTAACTTTAAACTAAAATTTAAAGTGATCTCAACCTCGAATAATAAAAGTCAGTTTATTTATCTTTTGAAATTTGAATTATATATATATGTGAGTGTGTGTGTGTGTGTCAAGCGTGGTGCATGTTCGATGAAATGCTTAGTTGAGCTCTTAGGAGACATTAAGTTTATGCATAATTATTGCCATAATTTGTTGAACTAATCTTTCATAGCAGTTAGATTGATGGTAGATTCTAGTATTTGTTGGGATCCGTTACAAATTCAATTATTATGATGCATTAAGTCAAAAAATTATGTTTAAATAACATTATTTTTTAGGAGACGTAATGAGAGGATATAATTCATTATCAATACAATGGTTACAATTCATTACGTACTGTACTTAAATCATCAAATTAAATACAAGTGGTTCTATTGTAATTTCGATGTATAATCAGCAAGATTATTTCAGCAAACTTTGAAATGTAATTAACAAATTTAGATGCGTATACACAAACCACATAAGACCCTCGCGGAGCACGAGGCCTCACAAAAAGTAGTTTGGTCTCTTTTGGAGCCATATGGTGTTCATGGTGGGTACTACCTGCTCACATTCCCATAGTATATTATCTATATGAATTCGGTATGTAGTCTAGTATTGTGTAAAAAGATCGAGGTTCTATATTAGATTTTAACGCTACTCCACTAGTATAAATAGTCTATATAAAGCAGCTCACTAGTATTTTATTATCATCACATATCACTCTTCAAAATAAGTCTGATAACTCTAGACACGACTTGTGAACTAGACATAACATTTATACAAAGTTAATAGATTAGTGTTGGATTAGATAGAAGAGTAGGGTCTTTGGTCAATATGAACATAGGTCAAGACATTTTATCTCTAGTTTAGTCAATCAAAAAATAAAATATTTAATTTAGGGGGCAGTGGGTCTCTATTTAATTAAAAATTAAAAAAAAATCAGGGCCATTGTAGAAATTTATAAAAAAAAAAAATAGGCAGGCAAATATCGTAAATTTCATGAAATTGTAGTTTGTCCAATTTTTTGTTTTGGGCAGGTAGTTTGTTCTTTAACTATCGATTTTCTCGTAAGACTGTCTCGATTATTTGAATTGTTTCACATTATTCGCAAGAAAATGTACGATATGCTTTGGACGAAAAATGCCTAAATACGTAGTAAAATACACGTTTTTTAACATACAAAAATCTGGCAATGTGAAACCAATAATTATAGCTACAATGTTCCCGTCGTTATTTGCTAATATTGAATTTTTTGTGTGTGAAACATTATTTTTTCTTCACATGATATTTTCATTGAGTTGTATAACTCTCCTATTTGCTCTATTATTCTACCTTTTCTCATTTGTAACATGTTTGCTTCATATTTAGAATAAGGTGCCAGTTCATTATCTTGATGTCGGTCTTGGTTGGGGACTGGGTATTAATGTATGTTATTAAATTAATAAGAAAAACATACACCTTCATATGATCAAATTCAATACCAAGTTAAAGGTGCTTTTGTCATTTTTAATCCTAACATCAAGTAACATTGATGTTGTACCGCCTATACTATAGGGATCTAGTTTGTACATGCATGTGATATCAGTTGATAGTATAACATCGAGCCAAGTCGGTATTAACTCGTGTTATAAAACAAGGGTCACATAACTTATTTCAAATACTGCATTTTTTAGGACAGAGTTAGAATTTTATCTTTAAGGGGTCGAACCTTAAGCACAAAAATTCACACATCCTAAATTCTAAATTTCCAATTTGATAATATAATACATTTAATACAAACAAAGCTACCGACACATACTACCATAAGATAAACAAAAGAAATAGTTTCTAATACATATTAATCATATTGTCTAATGCTCAGCTAAAATTGAGTAGTTCAAAAAAAAAAAATTGTATGCTCACTGAATTTGTTGTTTAATATTTGCAACTGAGCATCTATTGTAGCATTAAAAATATCAGTTCGATAATGATGTTGAATTGTAATCCCATTTGGTTGATTTTGAGCTCGGCCTCGTCCTGCAACATAACAAGTATCCATATCTGAAACATTTATGTTTTATTCACAACATAGATTGAAGAATGTGTTTGAGTTATGGGCAACGAGCTTTATTTCATTTAGCCTTGCGAAACTTATTTGAGATTATTCTCAATCTAGTTGAAAATTTGATTATTTGATTTATAAGAGAAAACTTTTGGATTACAAAAGCTTGGTATTACTCTTGAATAATCATCTATTTCAAAAGTTTAAGTTATTATAGAAGAGTGTAACAAAAATATTTATTTAATACTTCTCTTCACGTGTAACCCCTCATTGGGTTGTCACCCCCCCCCCCCCTCTTTGGTCACGTAGTTTGTCCCTTTAATTATCGAGTTTTTCACATTACCCCCTGCATTATTTGAATTAGTTTCACTAGTATTTGGTAGGGGTGCAACTTGGGTTGGGCAACCCGAAAAAATTAAAGCTTGGTTAAGAGTTTTTAATACTTGGATTGAGTTTGGGTTAAAAAAACTCCAACCCGAATTCAACCCGAACCTGACAAATTAAAAAAAAAAGGTTATATATATATATATATATATATATATATATATATATATAATAGTAGTACTGACTTTTCATTTTGTTCTCTCGTTCTCTTTATCTCTCTCGTTAAAAACTTGGTTAAAGTTATTGGTTGTTAATTTAGGTGAATATTATGTAATATATGTTTAGGTTTAGAACAACAAATTTATTTTAGGCTCTATCCGAATTGAACCCGTGAAGTAACCCGAAATTATCAACCTGAATTCAACCCGAACCCGCCCGAATTAAACTCGGGTAGTGCTCGGGTTGAGTTCTCCAACCCGACGTAAGGTTAGAGTTAAGGTTAGGGTTGAAGATTATATTCCTGAGGTTGGGCGAGGGTTGATTATCTAACCCGCCCGAGTTGCACCCCTAGTATTTGGCAGTATGACACAAAATCAAGTCAATATTTCTGTTTTAAAAATCTCAGGGTTTTTAGTTTTCCTTTAAATTGTTCTATGTATCATCTACATTTTTAGAGTTATTTTCGATAGATTCAGAGTGTTATTGTTCTATACAATTAGAAACGGTAATATATTCGTGCCCTTTCGTTACCACTACGTCAAGCCTTTAAGAGCTCTTGTTATTGAAAATCCGAGGTATCATTCTGTTGCTTAATATTCATCTAAACATTTGATAATAAGATTGGAATTTCCGTTGTGCCTTAAAAAAAGATTCGGGCATATAACTAAATGTTGGTTTAATGAAATTTGCTTGGTATTCATGACATTTTCTTTCTTATTTTTTAAACTCTTCATGTTGATGTGATTTAAAATTAAAGAGTTATGAAAATAATGATACAGACAAATAATTGTGTGCTATGTAGGAGCAAGCTGAAGCACACCATCACATGTTCTTCAATTTCCAGCATTCAAAGAGTGTACTGACCCCTCTGATGGATCTGGGAGGAGCACCAACCACTTTGTTGCCCTGGAATGATCTCATCCATTGGACCAGCTAACACTAGACAGGGAAATCCATGAGAGTTATCCTCCTCAAACTTAGCCTCTCTTCAGTTGTCTATCACATACGGAGGGAAAGGAACAATCGTATCTTCAATCGCCAGTCTACTGACTATTGGAGTTTGCTCAGTAGAATTCAGATGTCCATTAGGGATAGGCTAGCTCCAATGAAGTTTAAATCCTCTAAAACGAACATCCAGCTTGTGCCAAATTGGAACCTCCCCTCGTCTTGCCTTGAGTAATCCTGTGTGCTTGGGGCGTGCTATGTGTGCTTGGAACTTCTAGCTTGTGCGAACAAAACTCCCAGCTGCTCTGTTTTGGGGTGCTGTTGTTGTATTGCATTTGCTCCTAGCACTTGTGTATTGTATTTTGGGGGAAGTGCTGGCTCAAGGCCTACACTTCCTTCAAAATTCAGCTCACTTTGTGTCTTGTTTTTGTGTTGTTCTGCAGCCTTTGTCTCCCTGTGGGTTGTATATTTGCCGCAGTGTAATGAAACATATTTTTACTTTCCGAAAAAAAGATATACACAAGTTTTCAATGTAAACTTGTGATATTAGTCGGTATGTTATTGGATATCTATCTGTTTGTGACAATGATCAATAAATTTGATTATTTCAGTTATATGGCAATTGACAAATACTACAGAGTTTTGACAAAAATTATTGTAAATTGCACTTGTAATTTCCGCAATTTCACTTCCCCCAGCTGATTTAGACCATATATCAAATCAACATGAAGTTGACAACAAGTAGACAACACTCTTGGCAAGAAAAAAAGTACACAAATTCAAATCTTCGCATCAAACTTCCTGTAGTCACCCTCTTATTGAAATCCATACTAAACAACTCGTACATGATCGAAGAAGAAAAACCATGAGTACCATCAATGTTCACTTTAAGTAGTCTTCAATGTGTTTGCCACATCTAGAACAAATCGGTATCTAACATCGCCTTTCTCAAGACACTCCATGGCTGTGTTCACATTGTCTATAGGAATAACCCCCACATCTGCTATAATATTGTGTTTTGCTGCAAAATCAAGAATCTCTTGCGTCTCTTTCAATCCTCCCAAGTCGGTCCCAGCCACTATTTTTCGACCTATCATGCCATACCCCAAATCAGCTATACTATCTTTTTCAATTTTGTAGATGAAACCAAGTGTTATATCAAAAACTAATGCTAGATAACTTAAAGTTGTGCAAGACCATGCATCCCTGCTCTTTTTGTACATGCCAGTAAGTGAAATGTACTTACCAACAATCAAAAGAGACACCGGTAGATCTAGCAGCTCCACTGGTCCACCACCCATCACAAGCTTTCCATGGGTTTTTAATAGGTCAATTAAAGGTTGAAGAGGATGAACTGCAGGGATGGTATAAATGATACCATCTAGTGTGCCCATTGCAATCTAGTCATATCAAACAAAACACGAGGAATCAATACCACAAAACATCCCGATATGAGATGAGAGACTCATCCAGGGGTAAAGACTCGCTTCTATCCACTAGTGACAACGACTTCTTCTCCTTTCCCCTTCACCCTCCTCAAAAAAAAAAAGTAAAAACAAAAAGTGTTCTACTAATTTATAATTACCTGCATTTGATCAAGGTCACTACTGACCAAAAATGAATCAACACCAAGACTTTTAATAACTACCTCCTTTTCAGGGGAGGTACTAATCACTGTCACTTTACCTCCAAGAGCCTTTATAATTTTCACAGTTAAATGGCCATGTCCTCCAAGACCCACCACCCCAATGTGCATACCAGGCTTGTCGAGTCCAAAATATTTCAATGGACTGTACATTGTGATTCCGGCACCCAGGAGAGGAACGCCGGAATCTAGAGGCAAGTTGTCAGGCCAACGAAGCACAAAATGCTCGTCAGTGACTATATGATCGGAGAATCCCCCATGGATTATCATTCCATCAATGTAAGGGGGAGTGCCTATGGGCATTTGATCGGGGCAATGATTTTCAAGGTTGTTAGCACAACTCTTGCATTTCCAACAAGATCCCACAAAGCATCCCACACCCCCTTTGTCTCCAACTTTGAATTTTTGTACCTTCTTGCCCACTTCGGTCACTACACCAACAATCTCACGCCTGCATTGATCATTTCAGTTTAGATACGGGAGGTATACATCAAAAACAAAATTATTGGTCTCCAACTAGAATTAAACCACCAAAACTGTTTTTTAACTTCGACAAAGTAATCAACTGGGGCTAGCCTAGTTGGTCGCTTGATTCTCTCAAGAAGAAATTCCAAGGGTCAATGAGTAAACTTTGTCAGTCAAGGATTGATTTCTCTCAATGTCCCCCTCTTCGATGTTCGATTGAGCCCCTTTTTGGGGATTCTATTCTACCCCTCCGTGGATTTTCTCCACTGCTATAAGTACATGGTTCTAAAATTGCAATGGATGTCAATAGTAATCTATCTATGTATATGAAGGGAAAAAAAAATTAGTAAATGTACATATTTGAAGAGACCGACCAAACAATACATCATACAAACCCTTGGACGGTGGGATACATTGCAACGCCCCAATAGTCTTTGTTCATCATAAGGTCGCTACGACAGATCCCACAATACAACACCTTCAATCTCACATCCTGATCACCAGTGGCCCTGCACAATCATACCACACACATTACCACCACCATCATCGTATCAATAAACATGGTCACTCAAGCTAGCAATATAACTAAAATATTTTAAACTGACTCATAAAAAATATGTCATGTCACAAGGATGAAAGTCTTTCGTCTTGTTAATTTATAATGAATCAGATATTTTCTTCCATTAAGGAAGAAACCCAAACCAAAACCTTCTTGAAAACTTGAATGGAGAGAGAACACCAGATGGGTCTCTGCAAGCCCATCCAAAGGCCTCCACCTCTTGTGATTTCGACATTAGTAAGGAGAAAATAAGAATCTTGAGTGATTTTCAGCTATGTGGCGACTTGTTTCTTTAGTGTGTTGGGAATTGTGGCTTGGGCTTTGTGAGGTTGCATTCCTCTACATATGTGTGTGTGTGTGAGTGGGAGAGAGAAAGATAGGAAGAAAATGGTTTACACTAATGTTACGCTTACCAAATTTTAATGATTAAATTTGGAACCCAAATGATATGGCAGCTGACTTAGGCGTCATTATTTGAGCCCCAATTAAAATTGATCTTAAAATTTGGACTCTAAATTTGATTTTAATATATGACATGCGTGGTGCATATTTGAACGAAATGACCAAGTGAGGTCACAGGAGGCATTAGGTTTATGCAATAATTTTAGAGAAGAATCAATATTTTTTATGAAGGTTTCATCTTTGAGCCAACTGTCTATCACTACTTGGACATAAATTATTGACATAATTTATTGAACTAATCATTCATAACTGTTAGATTGACAGTGAATTCTAATATTCGTTGGGACCCGTTGCAAATCTAATTCTTGTGATTCATTAGGTTAACAAAAATATGTTTAAATAATATAATTTTTTAGGAAACGTAATTTAATGATATAATTAAATACTATAATTAAATCATCAAATTAAATACAAGTGGTTCTATTTTAAATTCAACGCATAATCATGAAGATTATTGCAGCAAACTTTGAAATGTAATTAACAAATTTAGATGCGTATATACAAACCACATAACACTCTCTCGGGGCACGAGGCCTCATAAAAAGTAAGGTCTCTTTGGTTGAGTAATATATTATAAGTGTAACCACAAATTTCATGATGTAAATTAACACAAAATAAAGTCAAGTTACGATAATTAATTTGATTGACTTTAAGTAAAAAATACATAACTGACTCTCTTCGGCGTGCTTCTCACATGTTCTGTCTTCTAATTCTCAATGAATTTGATAACGAGGGCCGGATCGGCATATTTCTCGATCTTTGATTTGGTGTTAACTTTAGTAGATTTGGTAAAGCCAAGGGTTTGACCAGCGTATTCCTCAATTTTCGATTTGGTGATGCTTTGGTAGATTTGTTGAAGACAAGAGTCGGATTGATGTGGTTCTCGTTTTTTGATTTTTGACTTGACTTTGTCGAATCTTCTCACCGTTCTTTGTGTTGAATGACTTAAGGATGATTTGAATTTCTTGACGATGGACCTTGACGATGTTTCTTCTCCTTAAAGATAGATTTACAAGACCTCAGCTAGTTCGTTGTGTTGAATGACTTAAGAATGATATGGATCTCTTGAAGAAGGACCTTGACGGTGTGTCTTCTCCTTAGAGATAGATTTGCAAGGCATCAGCTGGGGGTAAACTCTGATAGAGCTTCGCTATTGATCTTCCCTTCTTCTCCTGAGGTGGACTTGGACAGTGCTTTCTTGATCTTCCCTTCTCCTTAGCTTCTCTTGCCCCTCCTTCTTGGCCTTCCCCTAGACCTCTATTTATAGTACTAGGAATAGTTATCCATATAAGAGTATTTTAACCTAATTACCCTTATATGGGTTTTAGGTAATGGGCTACCCATAATTTTATGGGATTTTGTTTATAGAATTTAAGTCCAACCCACTTTAACTTTTAAAAGTTTATTTAATTTGGGCCTATGAAATTTGAGTACATTTTAATTTAATAAGTTTGATTAATTGCATCTGAGCTTGTATTATTTAGGCTATGAAATTTATGTTAATTTTAATTTAATTTGACAAGCCTTGTTAATTAAATTTGGGCTTGTATTATTTAGGTTATGGAATTTAGGTCCAACCCAATTTTATTTATCTAATTGATTTGAGCTCAATTATAGACATTAATTTGTTAATTAAATTTTTAATGTCTACAAATGCCCTCTCGAGACTTATTTACATATTTAATATTTTATAAATATATAAATGGATCTCGATTTGTATTTTAATTTTAAAATGAATTTGATTTAATTTAATTTATACATATATTTTAATTGGAATTATAATCCATATTGAACCCTAAACAAGATATAGAATTCAACTTAGTTATTGTTTTCTAGTCCTCTACTGATATAGAGTCCAAAACCATATAGGTTTCATAATTCCATTTTTATTTGAACTTATGAGTCCTAAAATATAGACTTTTAATCCATTTATGATTAGGAAAACAAATACTTATTTTAACTTAAGTACATAGAACTAGAATGTCTATATATATATATATATATATATATATATATATATATATATATATATATATATATATGAGATTGTGAGTGTTTTGAGTTGTTACCATAGTTTTAAAACCCGACCCGGACATCAACCCGGAGAAAAGACCGGGTCAATGAGTTACTAGTTCAACCACTGGGTCACTGGTCGAACCGGTGATATAATAAAAAAATAAAAAATAATTATTAATGATGATAAATAGACTAAAAAATTACAATACTTATAAAAATAACATGTTTAATATATATTAAATCAAACAAAGTTATCAAACCTGAATCACTTAATTGCATTCAATTAACAAACCAATGTATTCAATTAACAGCCCAGTCTCCACCCTCAAACTTGAATCACTTAATTGCATTCACCTAATTTTTGAGTTAACAAACACTCAAAAATTATCAAACCAATACATTCAATTCCAATACAATTTGCCTAATCTGCTATTAATCAAATCAAATATTCACTTAATTGCATTGTTCTTGAAATCAACTTCATAAGAATTCATACAAATCAAGTCTCAAGAGAAAGGCATAGCAACACGAAGCAAAAGCAAAAGCAAAAGCAAAAACCATCAAGATCATTGCAAAACCATCAACGTGAAACAAAAGCAAAAACCAGCACCAGCAACAACAACCATGGAGGACAACATAAGCAGAAAGCAAAAACCAGCTCCCAGAGCAAATATATATATATATATATATATATATATAAAGAGAGAGAGAGAGAGAGAGAGAGAAAGGTACCTATTGTTGTGTCTTAGAGAATGAAATTCGTAGAGTTCGAGTGAGCAAGCCAACCACATTGCAAAGAGAGAGAGAGGATTGAATCGGAGTAACAGACTGAGAGTAATCAAACCTTAAAATCCAACGATGAGGCAAAGAGGAGGACGAAAGGTAGAGAGGAAGACGAGAGGCTGAAAGGAAGAAGAAGAGGAAGACGAGAGGCAGAGGCTCACAACGACAAAGATCAGATTAGGGCAAATGAATTGCTGCTCCTGGATCGCTGCTGCTGGAGGGTGGAGGCTGTTGTGGTGCTGTTGGAGGATGGAGGCCAGGCTATGGAGTGTGGACACTGAACGAATGATTTAGGATTTATGGCAAAACAGAAGGGGAAAAGAAAAAGACACAAAAATGTAAAAAAAAGACATATTTATACTAAAGGAACAAAACCGGCTGGTTTTGTAAACCTGTCCGGTTTTCACGGGTTACCGATTTTTTGACCGGTTCACCGGTTTTATTCCGGATTCTTTGCTCAAACGATCCAATTACAAAACCGACCCGGTTAGGGGACCGGTTCACCGAGTCATCAGGTCAACCCACCCCACCGGGCCGGGCCGAATTTTAAAACACTAGTTGTTACAATTAGGCAGAAGGTTTTGGTTCATGTCCTCCCCTGAACAACAAAGGTACGTTTGTTTTTGTTTTTGTTACTTGATACTTTGGTATTTTGTCAAAGGTTTGAGGGACTGATACTTTATTCAATTTCTTCCTTTGTCTTAGTTTTGTTATTTAATTGCTTTTGTTCGATTTTGTTTTTTCCTCTAGCTTTTATTTTATTTTATTTTTTACTTTTTTTGTTTCATTCCTTGTTTAGCTCTTGGTAATCAATTTGTTATTTTCATGGCAGCCATCATGACCTAATTCTATTTTGTTTCATTGTTATTATTATTATTATTATTATTATTATTATTTTGCACTGTGTCATTCCTCTTGTGATCTTTCCATTCTTTTGCTTTTATTGGTTAGTATTTTTATTATTTTTTGTTATCTTTTAGTTTGTTTCTTTGTTTATTATTATTATTTGCCCTTCCCTTTCTGTTTGAAGACTTTAATCGAATGACTTTATCTTAAAACCTTTAATCTGAGCAATTTTTTTTTTGCCCTTCCCTTTATTTTCAACTTTTGTTGTCATAAGTACATAAGATTGTTTTTTGTTGGTCTCATGATATTTATGTCTTCTTTTGATTTTTTATTTAATTTTATTTTTGTGTTTATTATTTTATTTGTTTATTTATTTTTTGGGTCAACTTATAGTTTGACAGTCTTACTTTGACTACAAGCATCTGTCTTTTTGTTTGTTTCATGCTTTGGCATTCTTTGGGCAATAAATGTGTTTCTTTATCTTATGAATAATGACAATGACTTCTTGGATCTTAGCTTCATATGATTTGATCCACTCGAAAAAAAAAAGGTGATTGACCATACTTTTTCTCCTTTTTTTATTTTTTTAGCTCAATTTGTCATCTCTTCTTTAATTGTAAATAACTTTTATTTCATTCAATCAATCTTATTTTTATCTTATTTTTGGTCACAACATGTTTCTTAATTATTATTTTTTTATCAAGATAGGTTCTTGACCATAATTTGTTTTTGTTTAATTTATTTCAGATTTTAATCAAGATAATTTTATCTTAAAAATTTGAATTAGGTTGTCTTTGTCCTAAAGACTTATTTTAGTTAACCCTTCCTATGTAGTTTTGTCCTAAGAATTTTGTCCTAGGTGACTCAATTTCAAGTGATTTTTTTTTAATAGCTTGATATTAGATTGATTTTGTCTTGATAACTAAGAGATTTTTTTGAAAGTTTTATTTTAGGTGGTTTTGTTTTTCAAGAATTTGGTCCAGGTATTTTTTTTCTTTCCTTTTCTATTGTTATACAATTTTCAAGTTTTTAAATTTGTTTCATGACATTATTATCAAGACTACCCCCCCCCCTTTTTTTTAAAGAATCTTATCTCAAAAAATTTTGTTACAAGATCTTGACATGGAG